GTACATAGAATATGTTTTGTCTAAACAGACGTGTTCACGGAGTGCATTGCTGCACTCAACTGTCTTTGAAGAACAAGCCGCCATCTATCGGATCGATTGAACACTCAATCTTCGAATATCAACGAGAAACGATTCGTTCAACGAATTAATTGAAATATTTTACAGAAAACGTTCCCATCTCTATGTCATAAGATAAAATGCCATCACATATTGAACTCTATTGTTGCAGAAGATTTGTAACCACGTATCAATGTATCGGTTCTATAAGTTAATTCTGATTGCCAAACCTACCAAATCTGATGGTTTAATAAAGCCATTTTTCAAGTGACGACAATTCAAAATTCATTTATATCTTACCCACACCAAAAAAGTGTATGCCGTATTCAAAAAGTTGAGTATTTCATTTATCAATTTTGTATATCAGGATCAAATTTTTCATTCTAGAATGAGTCACAAAATCCAAAACAATTTTCGGTAAGCTTCTTCATTTTTAAGTGAAAGTCGTATGAATACTTAGAATGAAGTAATTTTTCTTCAACATCAATTCAGAGTTTTCCAAACAGTTTCATAAGTTGGCAGCAGAATGAATTTAATAAAAAGATAAAACCAATTAGAATTCAAATAAATCACATTCTCTGAATTAAACAACGAGTAATGAAACAGTTTTTCAGATTAAAAATATCATGCTTTACCTTTTTTCAACTCTTCATCACTTTGAAACCTAAAAATATTTTTCGCATCCCACTAACTTTTTTCGATATAGGTAGTGAATGAAGTTTCGGAACTTGAAGCTGATTCATTTACTCCCAATAACATTTGCTTTTTCGCCACCCTTACAGTATGGAGTCCTTCCCTCCCATTAAATAATTAATTTTCTCGAACGACCCGGTGACTTGCTCACCTATTCTGATTAATTGAAGGGGCTATTCAAAATTTTATTAGACAAGTAAGTTGAGCGCTAACCAAATTATTTAGCACTCGGCCTGAATTTACAATACGGCTCTGCGTGTCGGTCATGGTTGAATAATATGGAGAGTTGATTTCTGAATTGAAATTTTGATACAAAATTCATCATACGACAGAATATTATTGAACAGTTGTGAAATATGTTTTTCAACTGGTTAGTAAATGAGTTGTTATGACTTAGAAACTTTACTCGAAACCAATCTCCCCAAAGGAGAAATTTGATGAGAAAGGTAATACGTAGATTGAGAAAAATAAAACCTATAGACCACACATGAAATGGGAAGAAGCCAGCTGAACTGGGTCGATGGAAATCTACGCGTAGACCTACTGTAAAACAAGTGGAACAGGCCCTAACAGTTGAGGAATCCTTAGTTGTCAATGAGGAGGATACCTACTTCAGCATCAAAAGTAATCAAACGATCAGCCGGTATATATGATAGAACTGTCCGATACTTCATAAAAATCCATAATACCACATTTGAGTAACAATTTTCTGGGATAATTTCACAGTTTTTGAAGTGATAACTTCTAATGGGAGGGTAAACCGCTTCGTTACCTAACGCGTAATGGCACCAGTTTGTTTGACTTTCCTTTCTACCACGCATACGTCAGCTGAAGGCAAGCTCCTTCTTTCTCGTCGAACAGTCGATCAGTGTTTAGTGAGCGTTAGACATGTACTATTGACAGTATTGTTAAAAATCTAACCAGCAAGCACGTAATATTCTTTTATTATGTGAAACGTGGATTAAAAATGATGATCCTAATTTTGTATATGTGAATTATTAGTATCATTATTCAATCCTACAAAAGTAAAAATTGGCTCATGGTAACTATATTATCTGCACATACACGAAAAAATCAGTAAAATATTTCATCAATAAATAACCATTTCTTACATTATCATAAAATTCAAGTAATAACACACGTTTATTTCAATACGTAGTCAGCTGGTAACCTCTCCAAGTTTCTATGAAAAATAAGAACGACTGGAAGTTGTTGCAATAGGAAATCACTGAACTTCCAGATTTGGTGCAAATAACCAAAGTCCAAAAAAAACAAAGTGAACAGAAAATCCACAGACACCAATAATCCAATAAATGAATAAAAGTTCACTTACAAAAAGTGCCATTTTCAAAAATTTTGATATGTTGTCTTGCATAGTTAGTGAGAGAAAAATGCAAAATTTCCTTCCTTTTGCGCCCGCTCCATCTTGAAAACATTAAACGAAAGAGTTTCACTTCATGTTGCAGAGAATAAAATTTTGTACACAGTTAAAATATTTGAGTGTGATTTTGAACGAATCAGAAGAAGAAGAAACTTTCGAAAAAATTCACAGTACGTGGTGTTATCGTACATTGTTTAAAAAAAAATAATGTAAGGGATAAAATGACAATGAAATTGTAATGATAATTTGGTAGATGATTTGATAATTTGGTAGATATATTCTTTCCGTGAAAACAATAGAGTTGATAAAACAAGCATAAATTATTTTTTCATGAAAATCGTTTCATTTCAATGTATATTACCTTGAGGAGTATATCAAAATGGGGTATGAACACTTTCATTAAATTCTCATTTATTTATTAACTTTCATATACTTACTAGAAATACAATAAATATAATGAAATATTTCAAAACGTTTATCAAAAAACAATTTTTTTTCTTTGAACAAGCTGGCCACATTAATATTTCAACCCTATTAGAATCCTATTAGAGATAAATCAGGACTGAAGGAATGATAGAAAAAGTAAACATTCTCAGGTAATCATTATGGATCGAAGACATGTCTTCACAAAAATCTATCTGGAAGAACCTAGATTGGTTTGGTGAACAGATTCAGTTTTTATTGTGTAACGTTGCAGTTTTCTCATGAGCATGATCATACGGGTTTTGTTGTGATTATCGTTAAGTGTTTTGGAAATATCACACTTTACCGTTTCTCAGTTGACTCCCTCCTGCATTTTATATTGGCACACATAAAGATTTTAATCGAAAAAATTCCACAGGTATATATTGAATCCAAAAAATAACTTCTGCACTTTCTACTTTCCAAAACTGATGACTTGAATGATTCATTTCTTTTTCATGCATTCTCCTCGTTTTCACTGAAGCGCCACCGCGTCTCGACCCGGAAAAGAGAGACAAGAGACGCCTCTAACGAGAGTTAGTCGCGCTTTTGTCTGATTAGATAAAGGCATGCTTAAAACAACAACAGATACCTCGCGCTAATGAAAGAGAACCCCTTTCTCGGTTCCCTCTTCCCCTTCTCCAACAAGCGAATCACCCTTCCTAAAACCCCGGCATTCCATATTTTGGCTGATTGCACGTTCCAGCGGCGGTTCTACAAAATTCGGGTGTTGGTTCGACCAAATTTTATTTTTATTCCACTTCGCACAACCAAAAATATTTCGAAGAGAGCATTGTTGACCAAAAAGTTGTTGTTCGCTTGTTGGAGTTAGTCTTTCCAGAAAAAGAAATAGGTTTTCAATTCGTGATTGAAGTGTTCTCTTCTCCAAACGATTCAGTTGTTTTACAAGTTATTGAACTTTCCATACAGACCAGTTGTATTCGCTATCAAAAGAAAAACAGATGAACCAGCAGAAAAAATAGAATACCCGGATTTTGATTCAGTATAGAAACCTGCTTCACAACCAGTTACAAAATCTGCAGCAACTTTAAGAAAACTTTGCTATCAAACTGCAACGTCAAACATTCAGCAAAATACTATGTCAGCCACTATCGATTACAGTCCAATCAATCCGTACAGAAAGGAAAGCGATACCTTATCAAAACTGTTAGACCGATCAATCTATCAACTATTAAGGAGAGAATTGTCACCACTGACATATTTGTCGAAAGTTTAAAAATACCGTAATAGTCTGTGACCAGATCCTTTTTTTGGAACTTCTGTTCAAGGGTACCGAAAAGTATGATCCAGGGCCCATTCGATTCGAAATGACCTCTAGCAACTTTTTGAAAAATTTTGCGAGGGCCTAAAAAAATTGCAAAACTTATGAACCCTTCAGTAAGGAAAAAGGGGGGTTTGGTCTTTTGCAAATATCTCAAAAAATATTGAAGATATCCAAAATTTGAAAACGAAACCTGAAGAGGTGGAAATTTACTAAAGAAAGTCCCACCTCCCGGATCTCTATCACCAATATTTATAATTTTCATAAGTGAATGACACAAGGTCATTAACTAATTTTCACAAGTTTTGAATTTATATAAAAACCCTGATAACTTTTAAAATAATAACCTCAAATTATTTTTGGGTTTGGCAATTCCTCATGGCCCTCAATCATTGTTATTAAAATAAATCAAACTAATGATAGGACAAAGAAACTTTTAGCATTTTTTGTTCTCCTTTCAGTAATAAACAAATAATATTTCAAACAATTGCTCTAATCCTATTATTTATCAAATTTTTTGTAAACATTGTAAAGGTGATAGTTGCTTGAATAGTGAAAAGAATACGATTGAAGGAGATAGTGACAATTTCAACGATAATAATCTTCCTGCGAGTCCAGTTGAAGCTGATGCAGATAATGATGATGGATGTAGTTCAACTGAAAATCCATTTTAGGTTGAGGAGTACGTCGAAACATTACTGGAGGATGTACAAGACGAAGAAATTGCAACAGTAATACAAGAGAAAGAGATAGAAGAATGAGAAATTGAAAAAGATACTGAAAATTTCGAGTCTCCATCGCAAAAGAGATCAAAGAGATTATCAAGAAAAAAAAATAGAGGAAGCAAAAAAAATTGTCAAGTTTAAAAACTAACACGGAAAACTTCGGAAGAGGAACTTTTGATAGAAAAATGGAACGGGAAGAGCTCGTTATTTTTCATATGAACGTGAGATATCAGAACATACAAAACAAGCATTTCCTGGAGTACAAAATACATGCTACTATGACGAACAAGAATAATTCCAGGCGAATCTTGAATTCAATATTGATTACATGAAGACTTTTCTGGGAGCTATGCTTGAGAATGTTTTTGAAGTCAAAAACAAGTTGATTGTACATCTAGTGTCAAAATGAATGACGTTTAAAAATCTCCGATCTCCAAACTCAGAAATCATGGAAATGTCCGAAGACTTCGTGAAATTATTCCGTCAAAATAAGTTCAACAAAATGCAGTGGTCCAAAGAAGAAACGCCTATCAAAGATTCAAGAAAATATAGGGAAGAAATGTACTCAAAATACATACTCAGATTTTCAAATGCTTTGCTGTTAGCACTAAGAAAATCCGTATTCGGCTGTTATCTGAATTCACTGAATCCTCAACAGAATCAAGATACTGATCTCAATGAAAATAAATTGGCAATTACTGAATATATTATTAGGAATTTGAAAGAAAAAGAGGTAAAAAGGTTTCAAGAGAAAAATTATCTGTTCGAAGATACCATGAAAGTACTGAGAAAAATTATAAAATATAATGGATCAGTGGATCTAGAGTACTTAATGAGAAATATGAGAACACTACGTATAACCGATTTCTATGTAAGTGGTAAGTTTATAAATTACACATCTGAATGATGAGAAATAATTTTGTTTGAAGGTGGTTGACAATGTTTCGTGGTGTATTTCATCAGTTCGGATATTAGACAATGGAAGTCCGAACTGATGAGAAATAATTTGTTTTTACGTTTATTTGACAGTTTTTGACAATGTTTCGTGGTGAATGTCATCAGTTCGGAATTCCATTGTCTGATATGATTCGAAATTCTATGGAAGAGCAAATAAAATTAGAATGAATAGCTTAAATATCAATTATTACATTAAGTAATGAAACGTGAAATGGAAAGACATTAAAACGAATAGAATAAAACGAATTAATAACGAACAATAAAAATGAATGATACAAAATGAAAATGACCTCAGAGTAAATCGTTAGTGAAAATTAAAAACAAATGAAAATGAAAATATGCAAAATATGAAGAAACATTGAAAAAAATTTCAAACCACGTTATTTCACGACGTTTCGTTTGTTAGAAGCCACAATTGTCTTCACATGATGACTGGACTATTCCTCCGAGGGATGACTATTTATAGGTCATTCGAGGGCTTTCTCCTATCACCTCTTCACTCTTTTCGCTTCATCGGTTTAGCGGGAGTTGACCGTTATCCGCTTGATTACAGGTTTCCATATGTCCCGTATATCTACGCTAGCTTTGCTAAATGCGACATTGGACAATAGCTATTCATTCATTCCGATTTGATTTATTCTTTCATAGATTTTGAAACAAACTAGAATCATATTAGATAATGGAAGTCCAAGCTGATGAAATTTGATATGTTTTCAATTGAAAATAAAAAATAATCATTTTAACGTCTAATGGACAGTTGCTATTTTCACATTGTGTTAATAAAACAAATATTTATAAAAGCATATTGGTGATTCAGTTATGGTCTATAGTCTTTCATTACTGAATTTGTCCTTTATTCAGGTCACACATTTGGAAGAATCTGTGAAGAGTTTTCTTGATCTTCAGTTCTTGATACTAGCCGGAAATAATTTGAGAGATCTACCGGGGGAATTTCTACCTAAGAATCTAATATTTTTGGAACTCTACGATAACTTCATGGAGAACTTTGAACATTTCGTCAAGAAAGCGCCAAAAAAAATACTGCATTTGGGGTTCAGTAGGAACAATCTGGATGATAGTGAGTATCTGCTTGAAATCGAAAGTACGTAGTTACAAATTTTGTGAATTGCTGAAACATCTCTAGCAATATATAAATACCTTTAATCCTCAATGTTGAGAATCTATACTGGCACTGCTATCCTTGTAATTTTTTAACTGAACTTCCTATATTTTTCCCTGGAGCTTTTGAAAGCTTTTACTCGCTTAGATATATGGTGACATTCAACTTCATTATTCCACGACGAATCATCTGAAAAAATGGTACCATAAAGAGTGTCATAAACATGAGATATCAGGTTACATAGTAAATGAAAATTATTCAACAGGAAGAATATCTTGCACTTGTTCAGGGTACCCTATGAAAATTTTAGATGTTTACCTTGACACAAAGAACTAAGTTCCAAGATCTACTGTGAATATATCGGGTTCTAACTACACCTTACAGTTCTCAAAATATCTTCAATAGTTAATGTAAAGCTCCAATTCATTCGAAGGACTTGCCAGTATCTTTTACAAATGACTAATCCTCGCACGCTGAAGAGGTGAGGTAGTGGAAGCTGATTAGGACTGACAGCGTTCTGCCTTTGTCCAAATGAAATTCCTAACGGTATTATCGGTATTATCTTGAAATTCGAAAGTAGGTAAGGACTCTTGTTACTATTAAGTTTAGAGATTCAATCTCGATACTTCATCCGCCTTTTTTTCTCATTTCCACCATTTCCACCTCCTACTGAGTAGGTACTTTCAATTCGGTTCCTTCAATTTTTAATTCGGTTCCATCCATTTTTCATAACAAAACTGTAGAAGTGTCGAAGATGGTGATGAAATATTCGTGACCCCGCATTGTGTCGGTGAGTACGTTGGCTCTGCTTCTGGTATCAACAATATCTGTAACCGTGAAACGACATAAGTCTCTGATCACCCCATTCCATATAGAAAACCAAACCAAGCTTTCACAATCTCCAGTCAGAACAATTCATGCAGCGGATGTGAACAACGAATGGAAGTTGATCAGTTTTCTGAGGTCTTCGTCATCATGAGTTCACTTCCCTAACCAAAAAAAGCGATATACAGAGAAAACTACAACTATGTTTGTTCTATATCTTGTGATAAGCTCATTTCGGGTATTATTCATTTGTACTTCTAATTTATCTTGAAGAAATTTTATCAAGAGTTGTCCATCTTCGGATGCAAAATCAACATTGAAATTTTTTGATTAAATTAGTGGCAACGTATGATAGTTTTTTTCAGAGCCTACTCGACCGTAAATAAGTGATCGCACCGCTCTTCCTTGCGTCTACAGTAATATACGAAACGAAACTCTCTTTCTATATTCACTAACTTATACCTGCCTCCTAACTTCCGTTCGCTTCGCCCGATCACACTTTTTGTTACGCTCTTTTCACGCATTCACCAGCTTACTCTCTAAGTCAAGTGCGTGTAATGAAGTTTCACTGCAAAAAGCCCTCGTAAGATCGAACAGAAAGTGTCGATGACTAGATATATGTGCTATTACTTGCCGCGGAGACAAATACTATCACTTCCACTTGGGGCCACTTTATTCAAACTCAAGATATGTAAATATCTGTTCGGCTTCCAGGTTGTGTAAGATGTGTTTGTGAACTAGCTGCATTAGCACTATCTATTACTGCTACACATGTATTTCTCATGAATTCCATATCTTCATTATGTGTGAACGACTACCATACAAAATTATTGATAATCTTTTCCCTTTTCAAATGAATTTAAGGATGCCGAAGAGGAGGTTGATAGTATTGCTTTTGAAATATATTCCAATAATTACAGAAAAATCTATACAGGAGAAACGTAATGCAGAAGATATGTATTAGAGAGACAGAATGAATAATGGTGCTAAAGAAGTGAAAAAAACATGGAATATTGTCAATAACCAAAAAACAATAACCAAAAATTTCCACATATCTCCCTAAATCCCAACACTAATAATGACTTGTACTGCTCCATGGTTGAGAAAATAACTGAGATCTTGAAACCTTTACCAGATCCATCAATGTACCTTCAAACAGTATCAATGAACAAACCATGCATTTTTTATAACACCGATATGAGATAACTGAAAAGAATCATCATTAACTTGAGGAACAAAAAACATCTGGAACTGACAATTTGTCAGAATACTTGAAAACTGTGCTCAACTCATAAACGAAACTTCCAGGCGTGGAATTTTTACACAATTTCTTGAAACATCAATGGTCATACCTTTGCCTAAGGGGGGTCATGTTAATGATCCATCAATCCATCTTTACAATAACTATGGCATAGACTCCCTTTCATGGTGACCTGTTCTATCTGGATTCTAGCATGACTTATATATGATTTATTTCTAACTACCTATGTAGTTCCATTTGTATTGGTATTATTTCAAATTCATTTTCAATCTCGCACAAGTTGTAGTTCGTAGAGATGCAACAGCTGGTTAACGGAAAAATAGATTTCAAACAATTTTTTTTAATTCAGCTTTTCGAAGCTTCCATATGGTTTAAAAGTTATTTTATTCATTCCATTCTCCCGAAGTAAAACTTTGGGATAATGTAGCTGTAAAATGACTGAGAAAATAATGTTTTTATGTCAGCTATTGTAGGGTTGCAGGAAAAACTATAATGTCACACAGTGCTGTATACATAACAAAAGAACAACGCAAGATTTATAACTTTTTCCGGAGCGTCATCGACACCGCGAAAATGCAAAAAATGCATATATCGGCGGGGTAGACAGACCAGACCGAGATCTGTCACCGTTACCGGCCATATAAACATATTATGATTTAATGCAGCCACACCACCATCACCACCACCGCCTCGTCGTTCCTGTTATTAATTATTATGACCTCGTAAAGGGTATATACGAACTTTTATCTCGTTTTGTCAGACTTGGTCGGTCCATCGGGTCATGTCCGAGAGACACAACGGACATCGCGTCGAGTTAAATGGAATGCGAGCAATTTTTTCGCGGCCGCTAATTTTATACAAACACCCCAGTGACATTTGATATAATGACTCTGCCTACTTTGCGTTCGAGTTTCGTAATTATTATTTATATTACTGCGACACTGGAGGCCGTTTTTGTTTTTTTATATTATGTCAAGTCAGAGGCGTTCTAATTGCAGTATCAGAGTTAGTACTAGAGTGCCAAAGCCTCAGTATATAATAACATTATCCTGAGGTGGGTTAAAGGGCACGACAGGAGTAAGGGTAATCGCATTGCCAACTCTTTAGTCAAGGAAGCGGCTGGACTAAGAATGCAATCTTGCCAGGATCACCCTGGGCGACCCTGAGAAGCTGGCGCCGAAGAAATATCTGGCGATGACCAGGAAAAATCTATGCTTAACAGTAGGATTTCTGACTGGCCACCTTTCTGGAAAAGACAGGATGGACGATGACCTATGAGGACAACTCTTCGGGAGGATGTATAATGGGTCACACGTGGCCTAAGTTCTGTGGGCTTATACTCACCCTCCATACTCTACAGATACAGATACAGATCTAAGAAGATCCAGTTGACATCCATCCTCGAAGGACTTAATACCCCAACAGAGTGAAAAAGGGGAAAATCAATCAAAGTATTTATACAACTAACAAAAATCTACTTGAAAGAGAATTGTTTCCGGTTCGATATGTTTTCCTTTATAGCTGATCTGTTCATGAGCATATTCGAATTGGAAGGAGAGGAGTTATTTACTTTATATACTTTATATCCGAGATGTGGACGACTTGTGATATAAAATATGACATGTCCTGGTGATTAGAAATAACCAGGTTCTGAAATTCGATATATTTAGGAAAAATACCATGTACTTTTAGATTCATTCCTGATTGCTCAACATTGCCCACAACAGAAAAAGGCGGGACTGAACTTTTATTTTATATACTTTATTGTCCAAAGAAAATATCTTGTTAACAAAGTTAGTGAATAAATATAAAAGAATACATAAATGTCCTACGAATATAAAAATATAGATGAAATATAATGTGAAATAAAGTATAAAAACACTGAATATAAAACCTCAAACTATGGTTGAAACATACATACACATAAAACATGCTAGGTTAAAAATTATCGGTATAGAATAATTTTTCTCTACTGATTGGTATCAATATTTATCTCTCTAGTGTAACTCGGCAAATGGTTATACATCTTCACACCATTGTAAAATAAGGAGTCATTGATCAGAGAGTTGCAAGGAATAGGTAATTTAAAATTGTTTTGCATGATGGGTGGTAACCTCAAGTTTCACAAGATGTTTTTTAGTTAAACACACTATCTCCAGAATAAAAAGAGCTACAACTGTAAAAAAAAAATTATCTATTAACAGTTGCCTGTATCAGTAACGAGGCTTAGCTTTGCACAAGTATCATATAACTCTCTTCTGTAATACAAATACAGACTCCAGCAAATTAAGGATACACACACCCCAAAAAGGTATACCCTACCTTAAGTGAGACTCTATCAAAGCATGATAGGCTGTTTTCGCAGTATAAACTTCCAGTTCTCTAGCAATAACTCTCACTGCATAACAGCCGGTGGAAATTTTACTTTTCATTTTTCCGATGTGAGTGTCAAATTTCAGTTCACCGTCTATATACAGTCCCAAAAATTTAGTACACTCTTTGTTCTCAATGATACCGCTCGCTACAGATGAATTCTAAAGTGAACATTTGAAAGTCATGATATTTGTTTTAGAAATATTAAGGAAGAGTAGATTGGAATCACACCAAGACTTGATTTTTTGTATATCATGAGCTATTGTCTTATTGAGTATATCTATACCTCTACTATGCCACAATATAGTGGTGTCGTAAGCGAAAAGAGAGAATGTTCCAGATAAACTTATGTTCATCAAATTGTTAATGTACAACAGGATCAATATGGAACCGAGAACCGATCCCTGTGGTACACCAGTATTTATTTCAATACTGTTGGAACATTTAATCGTTTTCACAATCTGACTGTGACTATTGAGATACGACTCAAACCACCGTA